TAATATGGCTATGGTAGCCTATCTTGTTCTTAAATGTGCGCAAACAGAAATTACACGTAAGAACACCACCCACAAAGTTGTAAAAAATGGTGGAAGGCGGTCTATTCTTCAGTCTATTTCGTCTGTCTATACATGTCTATACATACGAATGTATGATTAAACAAAGTTATGTAACATGGTATCATCGATTATACTAAATTTCTAAAGTTTATTAATTTCATTGTTGGAGTGTAAAGCGTTTACAGTTTTCTTATTGTTTATCGGAAACAGGGCTGGCAATAGTCGCAATGTTCAAAGCTGTGTTTGAGTTTATTATTATTATTCTTTTACGACCAAAGATATCGGCGTCTGTCGTTCATTATGTAATTAAAAATCAAAATCTATAAACACTAGAAATACACCTAATGAAATGCGAGTTATTTAATCCGAACAATTACTTCTTTGCTATCTTTGAGTCACCTTAAGAAATGTGACCGAAAACTGTAATACTATAACGACTGTCACACCATTCCTAGCGGAACACATGACTGCTTCTCGGAAGAAGTAGACGGATATCTGCTCCCCCTACGGGTTCTACCTTAACACTAGAAATCATCTACATTAGTCCTTTTTTGGTTGGCCAGTATTGTCAGTATAGTATAGTTGACATAGACAAATATATATTACGCAATCTATCAGAGTTTGAGAGCCACTGGTCTGATTTATTGTACATCATGTGATCAACTTTTATACACGAATTTACTTTCTATGTCGAGGAACGTATGTTTGAAAGTCCTTTAAACTATAAAAATAATAATAAAAAGAACAGTATGCTTCTGTATGTTTTTATTTTACTGTGACTGGTGGTAGGACCTCTTGTGAGTCCGCACGGGTAGGTACCACCGTCCTGTCCATTTCTGCCGTGAAGCAGTAACGCGTTTCGGTTTGAAGGGTGGGGCAGCCGTGGGCATTGAGACCTGAGAACTCATATCTCAAAGTGGGTGGCGCATTTACGTTGTAGATGTCTATGGGCTCCAGTAACCACTTAACACCAGGTGGACTGTGAGCTCGTCACCCATCTAAGCAAAAAAAAAGAAAAACTTATAGGATTTATTAAACCGTAAAAAAGCGCTGCCGGATTTTGTTCGTTTGTGCTCAATTAAATACATAGCCGACAGCAGACAGCCATATGTACACCTAAGGTTCTCCGAAACAGATCCTTATTTTTAAGGTCATACGAACGTTATGATCTTTATCACGATTTATTGATGCCGATTTGTTTAAGTAGTAGAACAACAATAAATAATTATTTATCTATCGTCATAAATGTAATCATATAATAAGAATCAAAAGTGTTCCTGATAAGGAAACCTAATAATCGGCAGGGCGTGTATGTAGTGTGTGTAATGTTTTCTTTATTGATTTAATGTATCTTTTATGCATTATTTAAAAAAAATATTAGCATTGTGCACTTCTTCTCTATACTCTCTATAAGTGTGGAAAATTTCATACTCCTCCGTCCGCGCAATTTTCGTAAAAAGGGATACAAAGTTTTTGCTTCACGTATTAATATATAGTTATATACAAAGGGAAATTAACATCTAAAACCTTTCAAACGAATTATAAACATCTCAATTTCTATGATGTGAATAACATTAATAAACTCTTTTTTTTTATTGCTTACATGGTTGGACGAGCTCACAGCCCACCTGGTGTTAAGTGGTTACTGGAGCCCATGTACATCTACAACGTAAATGCGCCACCCACCTTGAGATATAAGTTCTAAGATCTCAGTATAGTGACAACGGCTGCCCCGCCCTTCAAACCGAAACGCATTACTGCTTCACGGCAGAAACAGGCAGCCCTACGTCGATAACACGGGACGACGTTATGCAACAAGTACCAATCGTTACTCCTGTGGTCTCATCAAGGACTTTAATATGTTTGTCTTATTCAATCGTTTGTTTACATATTAAATATTTATTTTTATGTATATTTATATAATTCGTTAGGGTTCCTTAAATTACATTCAATATATTTGATGCGTAAATCAGAAACACAAAATATTAATAGGTAATTCGGTGGAGCAGTTAACCCACAGACACAGCCCACTGAGTTTCTCGGCGGATCTTCTCAGTGGGTCGCGTTTCCGATCCGGTGGTAGATTCTACGAAGCACTGATCTTGCTAGGGTTATTAATGTAAGTAACGTCGTCAGGTTTGAGCCCCGTGAGCTCACCTACTGGTTAGGTTACATAGCCTCTCAAGGCTATCAGCTTAGGCAGGAAAAAAAAAGGTGGTGCAGTGATCAGCGCCGCGGACTGTTACGCTAAGGGTCGTGAGTTCGATTCCCACATTAGGCAAATATTCGTGTGATGAACCGGATTGTTTGCTTTTTGTCTGGGTGTTTATTATCTATATAAGTACAGTCAAAACCGTTTACTGCGACATCGTTTATTACAACATGCCGGTTATAATAACCAAGAACAAAGGTCCCGGCTGAATGCCATATGACCGCCTTATTAAAAATATTGCTTTCTACGACATTGGTAATAACGACATACCTCATAAAACGACCACATTTAACTAATATTTCGGAGAATTAGATCTGTTAGAACGACCGGCTAAGCTGTATTGTAAACAATTTGAATAGGTATCCACATTTGTCTTCAATGGCTTTTAAAATCAGGAAAGAAAACAATAGGATTTAGTTTAGTGTAGGGTCTTTTCTAATTCTTAGAAACAAAACACGTGCATGCGGTAGTCAAAGCCCACTTCTTCATATCTCTTCAGTTAGTTTGTTACTTATCTATACACAAGACGCACCAAAACTTTGTGGGGTTATTCGTGAAACTTTCAAAATGTTGCAAAGAAAAAGAAAACAAATTAATATTGAAGAAAAATCGCGTATTATGTAAATATATTTTTTCCAATAATTCCCTATCGATTTATTTGTACTTGCACGATACACATTAAACATCACCGGTTGTTACGACTATCGGTTTTTACGACTGAATATGAGCAGTCCCTTCGATGTCGTTATAACAGATTTTGACTGTAGCTAAAACTAAAAATTAATCAAAATAAAAATTATAATTTTTTATAATCGCCTACTAAAAATAAACACCAGACAACACAGTGTAAAAACGAAACAGTCATTCAAACGTTCCACATCAAGCCTAATTCGCAATTCCGCATATTTAACGATGAACTAAAAACAAAAAAAAAAAAACTAACCAATTTAAATTCAATTCAACTGTATGACCATGTTTGTAATACTTCCGAACACAAATAGTTATATTAATATTGATAGACGGATTGTCTTTAAGTACATTGACCTTCACCTTTCAAGGCTTGTAGTCATGACGTCATCAAGGCGGAAGTATATTTGATACGAGATTCAATGTGGATACAGAGATACAATAGTACTATAGTATCTACTAATTTTTCTTATTGCTTATATGGGTGGACGAGCTCACAGCACACCTGCTGTTAAGCGGTTACTGGAGCCCATAGATATCTACAACATAAATGCGCCACCCAGCTTGAGATATAAGTTCTAAGGTCTCAGTATAGTTACAACGGCTGCACCACCCTTCAAACCGAAACGCATTACCGCTTCACGGCAGAAATAGGCAGGGCGATGGTACCTACCCGTGCGGACTCTTCCTTATATTCCGTCAATAGTAGTAGGCTCTTTCGTATATGCGCTATCCTGAGCAAGTAGTATGTACATACGTATGTAGGTAGCAGTAGTATCTATAGTAGGTCACACCGTGAGCTCGACAATTATGCTCGTAAAAAAGCAAACAAGATTTCACTTCCTTTTTGTTTTTATCACAAGATTGATGATCGATATTGACACAACGAAATCTGGGTATCATTGTACTATTTATACCCACCCAATCTTATCGAGCACCGCCTTTCCACATTGTAATACAAAGAAAATACAAAATATCTTGATGATTTTACACTGCAAGTCTTTTTATTTATTTTTTGTCCAGATTATTATTGACCATGCACACGGCCCACTTGATCTTTAGTGGTTACCGGTGCCCGTGGACATCACTGTAAGTGGGTTAAAGTCCAATCATATGTTGTAACGATTGTCCCACTCTTTAAATTGAAAAATATTTCTGCTTCACGGAAGAAATAAGCAGTGTCGTAATACCTACCCGTGCGAACTCACAAGAGGAACTACGGCAAGAAAATAGGCAAATTCTTATTATTGCCAGTTTGTATATTACTAGACGTTATTTTATAATGTAAATCTACACCGTAGAAGTAATTCGAGAATGTGTACTAATTACGTATTTTATTAGAAAATTTGGTATCTGTCCGCGTGATTCGAACATCGGCCCAAACGCTCCACTCAGTACCGTGCACACACCGGGCGTCTTATCCTCTACGCCACGACGACATATATCGAATTCAGTATCTTACTCGCCTTTCCATGATCATCGCTGGATCGCGACGAAGGATATGTAGAGTCCATCAGTTGAGCAATGCTTTAAACAATCTCTAAGACTCATAAAGACATCAGAAAACACCTTCAACCTTCATAAGATACCAAGGACGATGACAAGCCACTTGTGATAAGCAGTCTTATAGGTTACTACGAGCCGGTACCAACCTTTTGCTCCTACCTACTTAAGTCCATTACAAAACTGGAAAATTTAAAGGACTTTTTTCTACCTATTCTAGTGACCTCGAGTGGTCATGCTAGATTCGCCGAAGGTAGCTGAGCTCACAGGGCTATAACCTGGGACTAACCCTAGTAAGGGCAGCGCTTCGCAGAACCTACCACCGGATCGGAAACGCGACCCACTGAGAAGATCCGGCGAGAAACTCAGTGGACTTGAATTCTCTATTAAAAGACTTAATGCTATTAGGGATTGAATTCATAAAGATTCCGTTACTTATCTTCAGAGACCAGCGTCTTTTTCGATTCTAACGCAATTACGATTTTCACGTGCAGATTTTTCTCGCGTACAGTTTTATTATTAGCGCAAATAAACTCACCACAAGTGAAAGCCTGTGATGTGGAGGCGGAGGCGGCAATCTTGACGGTCTTCGAGATACCACGCACTGTTCTTTCTGAGAATAAAAGATTGTGATCAACGGACGTGTGGGCGAGTGTCAAATAGAATTCGAGAATACAAACTAGGGAGATTTCATAGAGCATATCTTGATCCTAACAGAGCATACATTGGCCAAAAATCAAACCCGCAACATTATAATTTGCGTAATTACTGGTGATAGGACCTCTTGTGAGTCCGCACGGGTAGGCACCGTAATGCGTTTCGGTTTGAAGGGTGGGGCACCGTTGTGACTATACTGAGACGACCTTAGAACTTATATCTCAAGGTGGGTGGCGCATTTACGTTGTAGATGTCTATGGGACACAGTAACCACTTAATATCAATCAGGTGGGCTGTGAGCTAAGCAATAAAAAAAATTTTTTTTTTACTCCGCTTGGTTACTACTGCTTAGAAAGCGCATATTTTGGACCCACAAAAATGCATTGCAGTGCAATTCCCGTTCGAAAAGACAAAACAAACGTCTTCATAAGAACATGGAACATTCATCATGTGAAAAACTGAGTAGGAAAAAACCTAAGGTCAACTAGCTAATTTAGTTCAACATTTTTGTCATTTCGTGTCGTGTGTGGGTGCCTTAAAATGTTCACGGACAAATCTTTGAGATCGTAGCGAACTAAATTTTACGTGGACAAATAGCAAAAGCATTCAAAGTTATTTGACAGCAATGATATGGAAATTCTTGAAAGTAATGCTCTCGACGGCTCATAGTAAGCCAAGACAATTAGATTTCTTAAAAATGATAACAAAACTAGCTATTTTTTGACGACGTAAACTGGCAGACAGACTACTGTATATCGGAAGGCTAATACCCCCCCGTCATATGTTAACGACATTCCTGGGTCAAAATTTTTTTTTTCCGGGCCGGGGGTTGAATCTCCTCCGAGGTCCCCGCGCCTAGGGGGCGTATGGGGTATGTGGGAGTGGACGGTCCGCAAATATTGAGAGCGGATAGTCTGAGTCTAGCCTACCCTTCAAAGCGCTATACATGACTGCTACCGACCAGACCACTCAGCCTCACAACACACATTTTTACATCCTACAATAACTGATATTTGTATTTTTATCCTCAATGACTTTGAGGCTTGACAAAGGCTTTGACTTGACAAGACCTAAGAAAAAATGGATGGATTGTGTGAAAGACGATATGTGTAAGAGGGGAGTAAGCGAAATATTGGTATATTATAGAGAAGTGTGGAAGGACAAAACATGTTGCGCCGACTCAGGTGACTGGGAGTAGGGCAGGAGATTGGTGATGATGATGACAAAACGATGGTGAATCGTTTTTACCAAAGTTACATTACGCTCTTTAATTGTCTTTCTATCTGCCAGTAGCCTTGAGGGGGTAATCTGGCCCAACCTGGACGAGCTCACGGGGCTCAGTCTGAATGTATTTGCAAACATCTCCCCTAGCAAGAGCAAGGCTTCGCTGAATCTACCACCGGGTCGGAAATGTGACTGGAAAGATCCGGCCACCAACTCAGTGGTTCAGACCTGAATATACCGCCACGAGAGAAAGAGATAATAAATACTTCTGAGGACCACTTTTCCTCTACACCGGAGGAAGAGATCAGAGATCACTTTTAGCGATAAGACCGCCTATTGTACAAATGTATCTGCTTTTTGACTGTTTTTTAAATGTAAATTGTGTTTTTGGTGTGCAACAAAGTGTATTCTCTCTCTCTCTCTCACACACACACACACTTTTACCTGTGAACTGCGAACACTTCTCTTTCATAAGTTCCTAAAATCATACATTTTTCTTTGAAGTTTTACGTATAAGTTATTTCCGATTCTCAATCAATCCGGCAGGCACATTCCGACGTCTATGTACTCCGGTAGTACATAAGTCAAGTTAAAAGTCAATTTAAAAAACAAAACCAACTGACCACGTGTACCGAGAGAGTGGGTGCAGACTTCCCGAGCGCTGACCGACGCATGCGCACAAGATTCGTGAGCAAACTCTTGCCCGCATCTGTAACAAACAAACATAACTTCAATCAATTTATAAATAATATTTTCATAATTTCTAATTTTTTCATAATTGAGAGCAAATAACTGCTTTAAAGACACAATAACACTAAAGCTATTTCAGCAGATGGCGTTGTTAAGCCACCCGAAGCCAATGAGTGTTTGGTTTAAGGTTAGACCAAGAAAATGAATTGTTTATTTATATTATTTGTGTTTTTTTAACTTACGTGTTAACTTAAATATGCCTAAACGATCTTGGAATATTTCATAATTTTATCAATATGTAATTCGTATTTAAATATACAGTTAAAATCTGTTATAACGACATCAAAGGGACTGCTCATATTCAGTCGTAAAAACCGATAGTCGTAACAACCGGTGATGTTTAAAGTGTATCGTGCAAGTACAAACAAATCGATAGGGAATTATTGGAAAAATATATTTATATAATACGAGATTTTTCTTCAATATTAATTTGTTTTCTTTTTCTTTGCGACATTTTAAAAGTTTCACGATTAACTCCACAAAGTTTTGGTGCGTCTTGTGTATAGATAAGTAACAAACTAACTGAAGAGATATGAAGAAGCGGGCTTTGACTCTACCGCATGCACGTGTTTTATTTCTAAGAATTAGAAAAGACCCTACACTAAACTAAGTCCTATTGTTTTCTTTCCTGATTTTAATAGCCATTGAAGACAAATGTGGATACCTATTCAAATTGTTTACAATACAGCTTAGCCGGTCGTTCTAACAGATCTAATTCTCCGAAATATTAGTTAAATGTGGTCGTTTTATGAGGTATGTCGTTATAAGCAATGTCGTATAAAGCAATGTTTTTAATAAGGCGGTCATATAGCATTCAGCCGGGACCTTTGTTCTAGGTTATTATAACCGGCATGTTGTTCTAAACGATGTCGCAGTAAACGGTTTTGACTGTAATTACTAAAAAAACACAATTTATCAAAAAAAAATTAAATCCCGTAACATGTTTTCATTGATATCAAAGGCTTTGTCCATTCAACTCGACAGCCGGCTCGGTGACCGACATCATTTCAATGGCTGATAAGATTCGGCCCGAACAATAATACGATTCTGGTGAGGTGTTAAAATGGACATTTGATCTAAGTACAACTGTAGACAGGCAGAATGAGTAAATCGAAGAGTTGAAAAATAAACAATAGAGATCCGTTTTACCCGAGAAACACTCAAGTGTATAGCTTGCATAGTATTTTTTATATATTGCTTTGATGGGTGGACGAGCTCACAGCCCAACTTTTTTTTTTTTTTATTGCCCTGTAGGCAGACGAGCAACAGCCCACGTATGGATGAACTTTACTTCGGTGGCGGGCGGTGCGATGGTGAAAACAAGATGCCGGTATCATTTCGAACAATTCCTCCAAACCTGGTATTAAGTAAATGCCGCCACCTACCTATGAGTTCTTAGGTCACAGTAGAGTAACAACGGCTGCCTCACCCTTCAAACCTAAACGCATTAGTACTTCACGGCTGAAATGGGCAGGGTGGTGGTACCTACCCGTGCGGACTGACAAGAGGTCGTACCACCACTAGATAGAGACCAGTTAAATTGGTATAAGCAGACTTTTGCTTCATGTCTGCAGCTGCGTAGGACTGGTGGCGCCTGTGATGCTTATGAATTTCGATAATTACTTAACACCAGATCGCCCGTAAGCTAGACCGCAAATCTATGCATCAAACAAACACTCGCAAGACCAACGCTTTCGATCCTTTTTAACTTCAGTTTTGCTTTTCGCTATAATAACTCAACGTAAACAATTCCATTTATTTATTTATTACACTTATGTAAATTTTACATTGGCGGACGTAATGCTTAAGGCATTCTCTACCAGTCAAACTAAGGTAGTGCAGAGTGAATAGTGGTAGGTGCAATGAAATTTATATTAAGTTACAAATATATACACAAAAAAAAGTATATATATATACATATATACACAATCATATATATATATCGACGCTTGAAAGGCAAACGTGACTAAGCGACAATGCGTGAACTTTACAGTAGACTAATTTAAAGTTGAAATACCTGACAAAAATTATATTTTAACGAATCTAGCTGTAGGATTGAAATGATTTTAATAGACCTAGAAATATATTGAATAGATGAATGATAGAATGATAGAATATGGTTATTGCCTATCATTTATGTATAAAGCAGTTATTGTCGCTTAGTCACGTTTGCCTTTCAAGCGTCGATATACATACATACACACATTTAATATTGGTAATCAAATCAAAATATTAAAACAACACACTAAAAGTTCAATGAACGTTCAGGCCGGAATTAAAACAAAATTAACATATACAAAAAAAATTTTAATCACTTCGATTACAAGGCCAGTGTACGCACAGATAATAATACCAGTTCTCTGTTACATTATATCACTCATGCTCTGGTAGGTGTGTCACATACGTCGCTACGAATATATCTTTAAAAATTGTATAATTATATTTTAGCTGACCCGGCAGACTTCGTAGTGCCTCAATCGATAAATAAGATGTATAAAATAAACTTAAAACAACACACATCAAAGGAAAAACAAAATTTGTTATTTTTATTTAATTCCGAGCGTTTTCATATTTATCTACCTTTTAAACCTTCTCTGGACTTCCACAAATAATTCAAGACCAAAATTAGCCAAATCGGTTCGGCCGTTCTCGAGTTTTAGCGAGACTAACGAACAGCAATTCATTTTTATATATAGAGATAATTATTTGTAGCGCGAAAATATCATAATAGGGTCGTTTTCAAATTTGCGGCCAAAAGGAAATTATTTGATTTAGTTCTTATAACCTTAACGTTACCGTAATTATTATAAGTACAGTAAATTTGTTGTCATGACAACAGGCACGTGGTCCTATAACTCTATGTTCGTAAACACTGATAAATTAGGAGTTGTTTATACATTAAAAACTACCACAAATCTCATTCGTATCACTGGATCGAAATTCAAATTCTAACTTGGTTCCTATTTTTTCAGAAATTTTTAAATGCGTGTTGAAATTCGGCAATTTTATTTAATCAGTATATAATACAATAATAAAGGAAAACTAACTGGATATTAGAACATTATTAAAAACAACCGAAGTTCGATTTAAAGTTAAAATTCCTATTTAAATTGACATCCGTGTTGGCGTTATCAAATGCGTTAAATGAAAAATATAAATGAATATTATATAACATTATCAATAAACGAGTGATTGACTTGATTGTGATGAAGCATTTTTTATTCTGAACACGCCTAAATACCAAAAAAAAAATTGTTATGGTTATGGATGTACATTAAATATATGTATGTGCAAAATAAAAATCTTACATTTATTTGCGTTATCTGGTACCTGTAACACAAGTTCTTTACGAACTTAGCACGGTACCAGTTAACGTGGCGTGATTGTTAGTAAATATTTATTTATTTATTAATAAAAAATAAAAAAGTATCTATAATTAATTATAAATAAAATACCTTTACCTTCGATGACGGCAAACAAGTTTATGGATTGTGTAAAGTTTAATTTCTAAATTTCTTTTTCTTTCCTCTGTTCACTCTCTACTTATATGTGATTTTGATGGTGGAAACATGTTTGGTTATTGTTTTAGCTATTTTTTTTTTAATCTTTTATCGTCGCTGTCAAACCAAAGTCTGCTATGTGCAAAAACTCTATTTTGAATTAACGAGTAAAAACATTTTCGTATAAAAATTTATATGAAAGTGAATTTTTAAGAACTATATCAAACGAAAGCTATAGATAAATATAGACACATAACAGTTTTTTTATTCGGTAGATAGGGCTGTGAACTATACGAAAAGGTCAAAAAGTAAAAATCTCTAAAATTGCACATAGAGATTTTGGGTTGACAACGACGATATGTTTATTTTCTACTGTCGGTTTCCCAAATAAATAAATTAAAAAAATCTGATGAAAGTGACAACCATCGTTCATCAATTTGAACATCACAACCCTACAGAGATACAACTGTAACGTTTACCGAAGTGTATTCTCAACAATATAAATGACAATTTATTCTCTATACATCTCAAGACCGTTTTTACTGATTTACATAAGAAAGCGGTTCTTCTGTTTGGTCGTTTTTATTCCGAAATGACCGTTATACCGTGACACAATAATTCTAATACACCGTAAAAAAAAAAGAGTAATGCACTTTTTTTTTAATATTACGTAGGTATTACCCGCGGTTTTACTCGCATGGTCTATGAAAATTTTCTATGTTGTTTCCCGTGAGAATGAAATGTTTTTTTTCGAGATAAAAAAAATAATAGTTTAAGAAAAGTAACTAAAATACGCTTTTATAGAAAATCCAAATAAAAATACAAAATAAATTTTAATAAATTTAAATTAAAAATAGTGTTAGAAAAAAATATTTTATTGTAAAAAAGCGCTTTATTGTAAAAAAATATATATTTATTTTTCATTTTTTAGTTGAATCTCAATTTTTTCAATATTATTTTTAAATATTTAATTGTCATCGGTCCTTGATCAGTATACCAAATTTCGAGTTAATCCGAAGTTTTGAAGGGGTTCAAAATCATGTTCAAATATTCCGTTACAAACTAACATACACACGTCTGAAGCTAATAAAAGCGTGTTAATAAGCTTATGTAATAGTATTAGGCCTTGTTTTACTTTAAAAAAAAAAGTCAAGCAGTTGCATTATTTCCATATAAAACACGAACAAATAAACATATAAACATATACTGGTGGTAGAACCTCTTGTGAGTCCGCGCGGGTGGGTACCACCACCCTGCCTATTTCTGCCGTGAAGCAGTAATGCGTTTCGGTTTGAAGGATGGAGCAGCCGTTGTAACTATACTTGAGACCTTAGAACTTGTATCTCAAGGTGGGTGGCGCATTTACGCTGTGGATGTCTATGGGCTCCAGTAACCACTTAACACCAGGTGGGCTGAGAGCTCGTCCCCCTATCTAAGCAATAAAAAAAATAAAAAAAAA